ATCTTCAGTGTCATGAGTTTCAGAGTACCCTAAAATATATGAAATGTAATTTGTAATTTTATGAATTTATTATTTACATTCCGGTGGTTTTCAATATATTAAGGGGAGTTTTAATTAAAAATATTGAAAAAAATCATAAAAACTCCACTATAGTTTGAAGTGGTTGACAATGTTTCATGATGAATTTCATTAGTAGTAGTAGTAGTCCACTATAGTAGTAGTATAGTAGTAGTAGTCCACTATAGTTTGAAGTGGTTGACAATGTTTCATGATGAATTTCATTATGAACTATTCTAGGCTTCTAATGTGTGCGAAGCCAGCGAGACTCATTGGTTGAGTGTATAATAATGAAGAGGACTTTTTGTAGGATCAATTTAAGAAAATACCAAACAACGAAATCTGAATATTTGAGAATACCAATCATTTGAAACCGTTCGCGACTACTGCGTAAGAAGCCGACTACGCGTCTGAGCCACGCTAGTTACGGAGATCTTACTCAATAACGCACCTCGATGACGCCTTCTTCACACGGAAGATGGCGGTGACGATTTAGATTATTACATCAGTTTTTAGGTGGTCTTTGAGGTGGTCTTTTTTGGTTACAACCTCTAAACGTTTCAACTGCAACAGCGGTAGTCATCTTCAGTGGCGTGGTCGAAGTACTTTTCTTGACATATCAACTGGAACTCAAGAAGAGTACTTCAGCCACGCCACTGAAGATGACTGCCGTAGTTCCAGTAGGAATGTTTGAGATTATAATCAAAGAAGACCACGACAGAACCCGGAAACCAACCAAAGCATCGACGCCAGTCGTGAAAGCCTACATTTCTTTGGTAGTTTGATGTTTTTCAATGACAACAATCAGTGACTTGTTTATCTGCTTCGTGGTGAAATCAGATATTAAAATCGGGTATAAAATGGCATATCAATCGAAACGGAAACTTACGTGACTCATCATTATCAAACATTCTAGAATGCTGATGATACTGGGCAAAGATTATAGTCAGTGGGCATACTTGGAGACTGGATATGAATAAAATCATCTAAAAGAACAATTCGTTCAGGCCAGTCTCAACTCCCTACACTGTAGGTTGATGGACTGACACCTATCAGAAAACAACTACTCTCCTGACTGATACCACGAAGGGCGTTGAATTATATCCGACAGGTGTCAGTGCAGGATTCTTCACAGAAGTTATTCCTGCATATGCTGTTGGCGATACTATTTGTGAAAAGTTTTCTTTCCTCATACGAGGAATTGGGCAAATTTCGGATATGCAGTTGATTACCTCGTTCACAGGCAGATATGGCGACGACAAACCGGGCTGTTTGGCCCGGTTTCGGGCCGAAGTGTGTTCCAATAATTGAAAATCTATTGCGGTAGTTGTATCGCCAACAGCATATGAGCCAGTCTTCAAGTATACTCACTGACTATATGTGGAAAGTTTTCTTCCCTTATACGAGGAATTGGGCAAATTTCAAGATGTCTTTCTTCTAGTTTCCATCAGGAGAAATATCTTCGAACAATTTATTTTGATAATTGTTGATTTCTTTACATTCTATGTGTGTCGTTCTTCTCGTTGATAACCTCTTCTATATAGAATTATTGGGCTGGTGTACCCCAGGGATCCAGTCTAAAGCCGTTATTGTTCACCATATACACTTCAGGTCTCCCAGATTCTCTTGAAAATGTTCGGCTCATCTTTATGCTGATGACACACGAATGTATCACAGCGTTTTTCTGAAAGACAATAAAACTGCCTCCATTCTTATCAATACAGACATTCAAGCTTTCGTTGAATTTGCTTCAGATCACATTTTGAAGATGGAAACCATCAAATCCAATATTATTGTAGTCGGACCAAAAAACGACAATATCAAAAATGGACCGTTGGCATTGGTTAATGGAGTTAAAAGCCTCAGTAGATACCATCTCAAGTTTCGAAAAGTATATCAGGATGTAATACAAAGAAGTCTATTTCACGGAAGTCGAAAAGCTCTGGGTTAGGTTAGGATAAGTCTGAAGTGAGTTGGTTTATTCGACCCTTCATCGCAACCCGCGAAGGCTTATTGTGGCTCATACCTATTCACACTCGGCCAAATGAACCCAGCTTCTCAACTAAGCCGATTAGTTTGTATGGTGAGTGGTCATTTGGGTCATATGGTAAGAGTACGGCTCTGCCGAACTTTAGAAACCTGATTTGGACCTCAGCGGGGCAGCCACAAAGTGTGTGATTTGCTGTTTCATTATTTTTCAAATAGAGGCGACACACACTGTTTTCCGACAGTCCAAGTCTCTGAATATGATGATTCAAATGACTGTGACCAGTAAGAAGGCCTGTAAGACATCCTTATTCATCCCTACTGTAGTCCAACAACTGTTTGGTATCAAGCTTGGAAGGGTGTGTCGCTAGGACGGTACCTGGGGATGTCGAGTAAAGATGACACCCGGCTGGGCGTGGAGTCTCGAAACACCATCAAATCCCAGGCTTCTTGCCGCACCGAGACCAGAGCTGGTGGGTGCTAGTCCTCCAGGTGATCTATCTGTCGAGCCTCCTTCAAAAAGGAAACTCGGCTCCAGCATTTCAGTTTCACGTAGCTCCTTTTCCATCACCATTCGATTAAAACCAATGGTTCGCCTGGATTATTAGATTCCCTGTTTTTAACTAAGCTAATTGCGGCGCGGGGGTACAACTGACCACCACGATGGCACTAGGCCGGACCAGAGGGTTCCCTACGCTTCCTACTCCCTATCCGACACACATTTCGCGCCTTGACCTACCTAAAATCCCTATCTCCGAAGATGAGAACGGCCTCCGGAGTCACACGGACGATTTTGAGCCCCCAGACGACAGTGCAATGGAGCAGCTCACGTGAGTTACTCCGCAGTTGTACAGAGTCGGCGTACCTCCAGATGTATTCGGGCCTGGGTAGGTCGAATACGTCGAAGGAGGCCGGCTAGTTGGTCCCTCGATGATGATCCATCTGTGAACCAACAACTATCTGCTCTTAATATTTCCTTCTCCCGAAAAACTCTAACACCGTATGTGAAAGGTATTTTTATGAGACATTGATGCTGTCATTGTTCAATCGGCTCCGTCTAATACCTCCATTCTGAATAGATTGCAAAACAAGATAATAAGGTTGATTGTGAATGCTCCTTAGTTCGTGCGGAATGAAGCCATACGCAAAGATTTTCAGCTGCCTTCCATTCGGCAAGGAATCAGCGAGTTTTTTATTGCGCAGAAACTCATGATAATCCGTTAGTTTGCGAAGCTATGGATTATGTTGTAGACGATCCCTCCCGATTTTTTCATCCATCCCACCCCAGCCAGGTAGGGGTACACCGTGAAGGGTGGCCCTGATGTCTGAGGACATTAATGTCGCCATCCCACCATCAGTTATGACCCATTTCTCACTCCGATAATCATCAGTCAAAAGGGTAAGGGAGCCAGGCCCCAATCTGTCCTAAATTAAGATGGCTATCGTGATTGTTCAATTACGGTAATTCCCTGTATGGTCCAGAACATTTCCAAAGTACAAAATTCATGTTCGAGCCTCATTTTTGGAATTCATAGACGTCAGAGGATATCACATTAAAAAACAACTGTTTAGAATGTTTTTCCGTTAATCAGCTGTCGCCCCCATACGAACGACAACTCTCAGAAGTTGAGAAACTTGTGCGAGCTAAGGACTAACGAGGTCTTACCTTCTAACGTTTGATTCCCAACACGGCATTCCCAACATTACATCAATGTTCTGGCTCAAATTCAAATGAATCCAGTGAATGGGTATAAATACCAAGACGTGCAAAAACTATATCGTAATGATCCTGAAATAAGTTTGAAATTCTGTAATTGGTTTCAACGGAAGGTGCGGTATAACAACAATTTTGCGCACAATATCATTTGGGGAGACGAAACGACATTCACAAGTTGTGGCATCTGGCAATTCATCAAGTTAGACATCAGTTTCGTTTTTTATATATGGTGCTGTTTGTTAAATAATAAATTGCCGGGGCCCTATTTTATTGACAGCAATCAAACTGGAGCAAAATATGCAGAAATTATAGAAGAAATGTTGGATGATCTTCCTATACGGTATCCGCATAATAGTCCATAGTTCCAACAAGACGGATATGGTCCACACAACTCAAAAATAGTCGCAGATTATCTAAATAGAACTTTTTCCAATTCATGGATTGGAACAAGAGGTCTAGTAGCATGGCCTGCCAGATTTCCGGATTTGGATCCGCTGGATTTTTATTTGTGGGGATATCTCAATGATAAAAGTTATGATACTACAAACACGACAATAGGAATTCTTCAACGGAACAAATGACAAATCCAGCAATAGTGATTCCTCGCGAGAAGATTTAGAATGCATTGGTAGGTATTCAAGGAGACGAAATGAGCGAATGTAAAAGAAGTTGGAGTTCCAGACCCTCAAAGCGCATTTTACAAAACGGTGGACTTTTCGAGCACTTACTTCATAAATATTCATTTACTTTCAAATGATTTTTTTTTTCGAATAAATGATAGTTCCGTTCAGTTATTATGAATTAGGTTCTCCTTCCCTTTTGAAATATGTAAATAATTATTACTTGTTTCTTCCTTTGATTCTGATGGAACGTTGAACGTTGAATTCAGCGTTATATCGAAAAGTGTCATAAAATATGCAGGTCCGTATTTAAAAAAAGAGACTGAGGGTGGCCCAGAGAGTACGATTCCTAACACGGATTCGGTAAATTACGAGACATCAGATAGTTGTTGTCAACCACCTTCAAACAAATCAGATAGTTGAATATAGCTAATAGGAAATATTTACATAGTGTAAATCTCTTTCATAGGATTATTACGAATGAAATTTCGTGTTATTTACATAAAGAAATTACTTTTCGTTCCATCATCCACAATTTGAATGTGAAGTTCAAAGGTACTTTGATTAGCCCAGCNCAATGGTGATAAATGGCTAGTAAGCAATAAATATCGTTTTCTACTAGTGTGAAAGCGATTGACAGTGACGATGACGCTTTAAACCGATCGATTCAAATTCACTGCGTGTTGGTTTTGAAGAAAATGCCAACGCTTCACTATGAACAATTTGCTTCAGTTCGCAAATTTCTCATTCAGTGAAAATGAATGTGTTGTTTAGTGCAGGCATTGTTCTAATTTTAATTAATTCAGCAACTTGTCGGAATGATTCTGAGGGTAAGTTCTAGAACTGTTTTGGTGACTTAGATCGAATAGAATCAATTTTTTCAATATTCGAACCCTATACACTACCAAAAATTAATGCAGATAGTGACCCGCAAGGTCGGACGATCGATTTTAACTTCCTATCGTCAAACCTGTGTTAGGAATCACACCTTAGAAGGTAAGACCTCGCTAGTCCTTAGCTCGCACAAGTTTAGACTTTTGAGAGTTGTCGTTCGTAGGGTTAGCGGAAAACCAGATTTTTCAATAGATTTTAATCCTCAAATATTCATCAACGGATTATTCTGTTTGTCAATAAAACTTGTGGTTTTCTCCATTACAGCATTAGAAAGTGGAATGTTTCCTGAAAATTACTATATACTACAGATATTCGTATCAGATACAAACTGAAAAAGACCATAAAAATTCACGAGAAGAACTACAACTAAGATCTATTAGCAACAAAGTCTATAGAAGCCTAATTTGAATATTGATTATGAGAGTGGAGCTGGAGTGGAATACTTATGTAATAAGAGTTAAAAAAAAGAACCACATTGGAAGTTAGAATAGAATAGTTAACCGAAGTTTTTTGTAATCCTTTCATGATAAAGATGAAAATGAATCTAGATATACTCCTGTAGTTGATTTTGCTAGGTAGTTGTTCGAAAGCTCAGATGAATAACAAAACGTTACCGAAAAAATAAAAAAATCAATACGAACAATAAACAGTTTGAAAACCATTTCAGAATGGATCGGAATAATTTTCAATATTTGCTAAAGAATAAAAATCATGCCACGAAAACAACTTAAAATGCACATATTCATTCCATAAATCCATGAAGCAGACCAAATTTTCAGACAGAGAACTAAAACAGCTATTGGTTTCGTAAATACTGAATGTCACGACTTTTCTCTCTTTTTTATGTATGTCCTTCATCGTTTTTTTCTGGAGATCATTTCGATTTGACTTATGTAAGTGTTTGAATACAACTTTGCTAATCAGCTTGAAAATCACATCACAAGCTCTGCTGCTAATGACTTTATATTGGAACAGCACAGAGAAGGAATTCCCGCCTCGACATAGGCGTCGACATATTATTTTTTAGTGGTAGTTTTCCAGTTACTTATTCTTACAATCATAGCAATTGATCACCCCATGAAAAAGTTATCTCAACTGAATTTTTCCACCATGGGTAATTATGAAAAACTTCGAAATTTAAGGTAGTTGATTTCCGAGTCGAAAACTCTAAAATACAATGAAAACACAAATAATCACACCGAATTCTCGTCAAACATATATTTACAAAATAATAGAGGCCAA